GGACAGGTGAGGGGCAGGGGGGCTCGTGTGGGGCAACGTGGGGTTGAAGGGTGCTGGGGAGGGGGAAGAAGCACCTGCCCCCCCCTTGTCACCCCTTTTGCTCCCCCCAGAGTGACCCCCTGATGTCCCTGATGGGCTTCGGCTGCGGGATGGACTTCGATTCGGAGAAGGCCTACAGGTAAGGGGGGCTGGAGGGTTCGGGGGGCATCCTGGACCTCCCCAAACAGTTTTAGGGACCCCCCCGCTGGTTTTAGGAACCTCCAAGGTGGCTTTGGGATCCCCCAAGGTAGATTTAAGGTGTTTCTTTCCCCCGCTTAGGTTTGAGATACCCCAAGGTGTTTTTGGGGTACCTCATGGTTGTTCCGTCAGGAACTTTTGGCCCCCTCCAGGATGGTTTTGGTAACCCTTCCAGATGGATCTGGGATCTCTTGAGATGATTTGAGGGCCCCCTCCCCGAATTTGGGGACCCCTAAGGTGGCTTTGAGGACGCCCAAGGTATTTGGGGACCCCAAGGTGGTTTTGGAAGCACAAGGTGCTTTTGGTCCCCCTCCAGTGTGGCTTTGGGGACCCTCTCAGGTGTTTTGGGGCCCCCTGCCAGGTGGTTCTGGAGCCTCCAGGGTGGTTTTAGGGAGCCCCCGCCGTGCTTCTAGGTCCCCAAAGCAATTTGACACCCCCCTCAAGTGTTTTAGGACCCCCCTGTGGTGTTTTAGGCCCCCCCAAGCCGGTTTTGGAAACCCCAAAGCAGTTTGGGGCCTCCTCCCCAAAGTGATATCGGGCCCCCCAGGTGTTTTAGGGACCCCCCCAGCTGATTTTGGGGTCTCTCTGTTCTCTTTCAGGGATGTGGCCTGGCTGGGGGACTGTGACAGCGGGTGCCTGGCTCTGGCCGAGCTGCTGGGCTGGAAGGTATCACCCTGACCCCTGCACCCCCAAACCCTGCTGGGACCCCCCCAAACCAAACCACTGTCCCCTGCCAGGAGGAGCTGGAGGAGCTGGTGAGGAGGGAACACGCCGCCATCGACGCCAGGGGGGGCGACAAGGACCGGGACGACCCCGAAAACCGTCGGGGGCACAAGGAAAAGGGGGACCCCAAACAGCGTCAGGGGCACAAGGACGAGGCTCAGAGGGACCCTGAAAAGCCCCAGGGGGGCAGCGAGAAACCCCCCCAGAGCGAGGGGGACACACCCCAAAAATAAATGGTCTGAAAAGAGTTTATTGGTTTCATCTGGTGAGTGCGGAATGTGGGGGGCAAGGCCCTGAGGGTATTTCTTGCAGGAAAGAAAGCCCTTACCGGTGGGGTCTCATGCACCAACCGCAGGTGAGAGACGGAGGCTCAGGGCTTTGTTTCCTGGGTGGAAGGGCAGTGGGTCGCTGGCCGGTGCCCTGCGCTGCAGGGGGGGGTCCGAGGGCCAAAAGTGAACACGGACAAAGATTCCTCCCAGACCAAAGGTGCCCGGGCAGAAAGCGCTTGCTGTGTGTGTAATGCTGAGAATGGCACACGAGAGAGGGAGGCTCAGGGCTTTCTTTCCTGTGTGGAAGGGTGGTCATTCGCTGGCGGGCGCACTGCGCCGAAATTGGTCCACGCCAATCACGAAGCACCTGAAAATTCTAATTATCAATTAGCAGGAGAATAGCAGCTTACAAATAGGGATGGATATCAGTCTCTTCCAGAAGATGCTTGAACACCCAGATATAGAAAAGATAGAGCAAGCAGGAAAACATGATTAGTGGGATATTTTTCTGGGATACTCCCCCACAGCCTCTCAAGTGTTCCATTTCCTAATACATCCAATCTTAGCATTGGCAAGTGCCATTGCATTGTTATCATTACTCAATTTATGGCTGTGGTATAAATTAAGTACCATAATCAAAAGAGTACATATTATGAATAATTAAGTAATTAATTATGAGTAATTAAGCACGAGCTGGTTTGTTCCCAACGTTAAATAAACAAATACCTTCCTGCTTAAAGATACAAAAGTCTCTGAGCAGTTTTTCGGACGGGTTTTTCTGCATCACAGCCCAACTACTACCAAACACTGCCACTGTAATTCCTAAACCGTCACCTCTTGAACACCTGCAGCAACCTCCACAACCACCACCTCCCCGGGCAGCCTATTCCAGTGCGGGACCACCCAATTTTTTCCTAATCTCTAATCCGAATCTCCCCACTCTCATTGTAAGGCCATTTCCCCCGGTCCTCACGGCAGGACAGCGGCTCTTTCCCGGTTCAAACCTCGGCACAGCCCCCGAACCGGGCGCGGGTCCGTGGAAGCACTTCCTGATTCCCGTTATTACCTCACTCCACATCCCCCGTCGCGAAGCGCCCTGGGAGGGTCCCGGCAGCCCCGGGGGCTCAGCCC